GGTATAAATTGATTCTTCGTACGCGGGAACAAAGCGCGTAACTGTCCGCCTTCGCGTGGTTTCATCCGCTGTATAATGGAATCTTCCGGGCAGAAGAAAGACCGAGGACCTTTGCAAAGGATCAAAGGATTTGCGTCCTGCTTCTCTCTCTCGTGATCTATCGTGATTTTTTTTTACACGTGTGGGTGCGCGTGTACCACTTGCAACCGTTGGAAACGTTCAACTTCGTTTCAAGATCTCGAGATTCGATTCGATTCGATTCGATTTTTCGAGCGATGAAAATAATCAGTTTACAGGAAAATAAAATTCGATAAACGATCGAGGAATTATCATGGCTTGTTGGCCAAGGCTCGGTCGGCCAACAACGCCGAGTTGTCGCAATAGCTGAAACCGGACACGAGACGGCGAGTAGATTGGCAGGAAATCCGGGCTATCGGCGAAAGAGAGGAGACACAATCGGTTCGGGATAATCCGGACGAGGGGTCCCTCCTCCTTCTCCTCCGCCGATATCCACGAGGATATCGAACGTCTGCCTATTTCGATTCGCTCGAAATGACGATACCTTTCCATCCATCGAGCCCTGGCCCCAATAAACGAAACCAATTCCGCTCGTGCTGTAATTAACCGTAGCTGCGGCCACGATACGTAATCGCTAACCTGAAAAATAGTCCACCTTCCTGAAAATAATTCCAGTCCGGTTCCAGTCCGTCGCGAAAACTTCTTTTCCCTCTTCTCAACGTTCCTCGCGGGTTCTTCTTTGTCGGTTCCCTGCACCGCAGAAACAAAGCGGATTCCCAAGCGTGACGAAGAGACTCGGTTCGATGAGAAAAAAGAAAACGCCGTCACCGTGGATTTCTTTCCATCGCCATCCTTCGTGTCTCGCTTTCTCCACCCAAGAGAGGTCGAATTCTCGATCGAAAGGGAGGAGAACTCGGTTGGATTTCCCATTTCTTCAACAATATTTTCTCCTCTCGTTCGACTTTCTCATTATGCCGCCACAATTCTACGCTGCAACTACATCTACCCCCTTCCTTCCAGACACGGTGGTTGCAATCTCGCGCGAACGATAATTCAAACTCGTCCTCCAATTGGTCGCACTCGTCGCATTATACCCGAGACTTAATCTAAACTTTCACGATAGAGGGGTGAAAGAGGAGAACGTCGAGGGGTGGCGAGCCCACCGTAACCATCCTCGACTAGAGAGAGAGAGAGTTGTAGACGATAAATATCGCCCGGAAGAAATTAACCTCGAGAAGAACGTTCCCCCCCGAAAATGATCGTGGCTACCTGGAATAAATGGGTTAGAAAAACGAAAGGAATACAGTCGACTCGATAAAACTCGAGACGACTTTACGAGAATCGTGCACCGTGTTTTTTAATCACTATCATCCTGTGTTCTCTTTTATTTTCTTCCTACGCTCTTCTCACCCGTACCATTGTCTCCCGTTTTCCTCTTTTTTCTTCCGTCGAATGAACTTCATCTCTAACAATAACTCCCTGATACACATCCCCTTTGACATTTATCGTAGCAAGATGTGATTTCGCGCGCGGATATCAGAGAGAAGAGGGAGAGAATATTATCGTGGCGAGGGAGGAGGAGAATAATAATTCTCGGGACAGATCGACGTTTTGGATCGTTGAAGAAAGAGGCAACGCCTCTTCCGCGGATCGAACGTCTCGAGAGGGGAGGGTTGAAGAGAGGAGAAGAGAGGAGAGCCGAAAAGGAAGAGGAGAGACAGAGAGAGAGACAAAGAATTCTCGCCGTTCTAATTTCCACGCCGATGAATCCGGCAAGGAACGAGCTCGAGGAGGAGGAAGCTTCGAGAGAACAGACAAAATGTTTGTTGCAATTTCGGTAGTTACAACTCGCCAACGGGGGTCGAGAGAATTCAATTAAGGAAGGCCGATGCGTTTAACACCCCCGCGTAAAGGGAAAGGAGAGGAGAGGAGAGGAGAAAGGGCGCGCAAAAACTCGGCTCTCCTTCGAAACTCGCGCTCGATCTGCGCTCGTGAACCACTCTCTGGATCCTCTACACGTCTCGCACGCGCTGAATAATTATTCCGAGATTAATTATCCCGCTCGCCCCAACGACAACGCTGTCCAAGTCGAAAGAGAGAGAAATTATAAATTATAAATTCTAAACAGCGTTGTTCAAATATAACGATCGTTTCTCCCTCCCTCTCCTTTGTCCCTTTATCGATCCTCTCTCTTTCTCCTCTTCCGTTCGAGGCAAAAGATTTTTCCCCTCACGGAAATTCTCACGAAATTCCCCGGCCCGTTTAATCGAAACGAAACGGAAGATAAATCTCGAGAGGACGGGGACGGGGAGAGAAAGAGAGAGGATTCTCCAATTACGCGTAATGATGTAAAATCGTGGGGCGATAATGGGTCCCCGACGTTCGCCACGCCGACGAGACACGTGTTCACTATTAATAGGCCAGCGCCGTTTTTATCCGGCCATCGGTCGTCGCGGGAGGAAAAAGCTCGAGGGATAGAGGGAGAAGAAGAGAGAGAGAGAGAGAGAGAGAGGGTGACGATGAAAAAGAGGAGACGCGGTGGCAGACCGATGGCGCCTGTCAGGGGTAAACACGGTTTTTTAACGGGCCGCTAAAGACAATAACAGAAACACCACGTTCGCCCCCTCCCTTTCGCTCTTCCGAAGGAAACGGCCGATCTCTCCATGTCGGGGGTAACGGGCAGGAGGAACAGGAGCCGCGACCCAGACCGATTACTCCTACCAACTGGTCCCGCTTTTAACATCCGTCTCGATGATCTCTCTCTCCCTCTCTCCCTTTTCTCTCACCCTTTCACTCCACTTGTCGCGCTCTCTTTTCGTAACCGTTCCGTGTCGCCGACCCGGCCGATTTGCCCGGCGATAAAGCTTAACGAGCGAAAGCGACGCGTAGAGACTAATCCTCGCTCTAGAATCCCTCTCTCTCCCTCTCTCATTCTCTCTCTCTCTCTCGCATAAATGAAATTTTAGAGAGAGCGTGAACGAGGATTACGGGTAGGATCGTAAAACTTGGAAGGGATATTTTAATAACGAGTTACCTCGTTA